GATAGAGTCCCATCTCCGAAACGTCGTTTTACGTTTTATATTTACTAGACGATGGATAATATCCAAGGAAATTTTTATTCAATTGAGGGGTTTTACTGTATTTATTTATCAGCTCCGGCGTATCCATGGTAACAGTACAGAATTATGTGACGTAATGATAATATGAATAATGCCGACTGTCGATGAATAAATCAATGCGTTTATTCGTGATGGATTAATCGTTTTGAAAATAAGTCACAGGATAAACAATGTGATAACGAATAAGTTTTCCGTTTTATTTTCAAAGACCTACAAACCAAAATACGCAACACTGAATTTATAGGCCTTGATGAGAAGACCGGATAACGGTGTTCTTAACCTACGCTCAGATTTGTTTAAAGTTTAGCAGGTGAGCCAACTTTAGACACTTTAATCAAAAGAACATGTTCTGATCGACTAACTTTTATATTGCAGTCATGTAAAAAGATTAATCTAGGTCAGCTTTTCGGGATTTCGTAATTTCTACGTAGAGTTATGCTAAGCCAGCGGTAGAGTTGCACGACCGGCAGAGATTCGTTCAAAAATAATTTCTGAAATGACAGCTTTAATGAACCGGACAGGTAGAGATGCGTTGCGTAAGTCCTGGCGGGAATCGTTAGAGCAAGTGAACTCGCTTACAATGCTCCTAAGCACTGATATTTTTAGTACGATCTCGTTCCAAAATCGAGACTTCTCGACCGGATGACCGATCTTTATGAATGTATTTCCACTCCTGACAACTACAACCACGCGTTCAAAAGTCTGTATATCATTGATAATACAAACATAATGGCGAGTATCAACATTTCCCACGGGTCTATTACAAGAACAATTAACTGCAGAATACTATAAAAAAAGCCTACTAAGGTCATATCAGATATCAGGCGAATTCTAAATTATGACACCCAACTATTTCGCTACAAATTCATATAAAATTAAAATCCGTATCACCAAAACTGAAACTATTGAAATGAATGGCACTGATTTCAGTAATGTTAAAAATGGTGATTGTCATAAAAATAACTAGACACCTCACGAAATTAACGTTTCCTTCAAAATGGACTCTGGATTAAAAATGTAAATATTTAATACAATAAACAGCATAACAGAAATTAATTTCGGCAAAACAAACGATAACTCAGACCGATTTAAGAATACGTAACATCAAAGGCAAAATTTAAATATGTAAGAGGGATCTGGGTTTTGAACAGCAGCCAGCACAGATTAATTTATTAGACCACTGCAGGAATTCATATCGGAAGTCCAAATGAATACACATACAACAGAACGACTACAAATTCAAAATATATCGGAAGGCGCAGGTGATTATAGAGAACTTAACAAAAAAAACCTATAAAAATAGACTACCGAAGTTTGGCCTTGTATTATAAACCCGTTGGCGAAAGAAATAGATGCCATCTCAGAAAGAGATATAAAAACTGATCCTTGGTAACACCTTGGCTAAGAGTTGACGTAACAGGTTCTATAAGCTTAAATTCCACTAATTAGGCTAGCATAAGAAGAGTCACATATATCTTATCAAAGATATATTAGTATTTAGGCTAAGTAGCCTATTCTACACTCTCTCAAACTACAACAGAGAACGGTAAAGTTGCGTCATACTGTGATATAATAAATATATATTAAATCTTGTCCGTCTAATCACAATAAATTCTTATTAAACATTAAAATATTACAATAATTAACATTTAAAATATTTAAAATATCAAATTATGTTCTTTATCGAATATATAATATATACAACAGAGAAATAAATTAAAAGTTTGCACTAAAATAAATACACAGCATGTATTAAGAGAAATTTGGAATTTGCAATGGTCGGATTCCATAAAGAGCGGATAGTTTTCTAACTATACGAGCAACTATTAGCTTCTCAAGAATAGTCCTTGTTCTTACATTAGAACATAACGTGTAAACTTCAAACCGGTTAGCCTTTACAATCAACCATCACCATATCAAGCCAAGTCGAAGCGATAGTACGAATTTGACTCGAATGGCTGACGTAGCAACAACATTAGCACAGTCTATCACCTTCAGGGGTAACTACAGCTGTGCATTACGTTGGTAAACTGAAAAATCGTGGCAACTGGGGAAAAACAGACAACAAGGTAGATAGTTAATTATCTAACACTGAACACACTACAGTACGAGCATAGTGTAATATATCCCTTGAAGCCAAGAAGCGACCAGAACACACGATTCTCAGTCCTCGTCAACAGACGAAGATCAGTGACCCAGAATGGATATCGGGGGGGTCCTTAGCTATCGAGATTCGAATGACGTCGGTAAGAATATTTTGTCAGTCACCCTATGGCTCATAACTAACTAACTAACTAACTAGATGGCTTACCGAACCCGAAGGTTCATCACCGAATTAACCAAAACCCTCCACCGGACCCTGTCCTGGGCCAACAAAATCCAGTCTCCTTCGACTCCTATCTCCCATAGATCCCGCCTGAGATTATCCTCCCATCTACGACTAGGTCTCCCCAGCGGTCTCTTACCTTCAGGTTTCCCAACCAATACCCGGTGCTCACCTCTTGTCCCATCCATGCGCGCTACATGCACCGCCCATCTCATTCTTCTCGACTGCAAGATTATTGTTTCCCTATGGCTCATATGACTGGCAATTACGTCTTACGTCTTCCTAAGTGGTAACCCACCAAAGTGATGACCACAGGTCAAACCATCACAATTTCATACAAAATTTTATAAAAGTTAATTCCAGAAGGAGGAGCCTAACTATTGTAAAGTTCCTTTATAGGATACAAGTTCCCGAAATGCTTCATGTTTAAATCACACATTTTAAATAAAGACAAGGCACGGAAGTCTGTTACAATTAAACTTTGTAGTGTGACCGTTAACACAAAACTCAGACGGCAAGGTCATTGACATCCAGACACCAGGGCCTGAAATCACGCAAAACAGTCTGAAATGTGCACATTTTTATACAGCACAAATTAGGAGCGTTTCATACCTCGTCCAAGCGAAGGGTTAAACTATTCGACGAATATAAAATTTTTGGCTGTGGCTGTACTCCAAATTACCGAATTAAATGTATTCAAACAAAACTTTTACCATGGTAACTGTACTGGAAACAAAGTCCACGGAGCACAGTGGTCCTTGAATAGCTCGTAGTCGCTCAACTTATCAGAAAACTCCCGTTTACGTAATCCTAAAGTTCATTACCTCGTTCATAAGACCCCGTAATGTCCCGAAGCCTTATGCCAACTTTTCGTAACATGTCAGCGTTCACGATGAGGAGTTTAGTCTCCAACACACAAGCCCCTTGTCGGCGTTCTCTGTTTATTCAATACCCGGAGGTCGTTTCTTCCATTCGCAAAGCAAGAAAGAACCATGATGGTAACAAGGCATCACGGAAACTATGAAAATCCACGAAACACGGTCGTACTTCAGAAGCTACTTGTCGCTAAGCTAGTAATATATTTCTGGCCTTTTATGTAACCCGAAGGTACATTATCATGTTCATAACAGCTCGCGACATTCCTCGTTGTCGTATGACTGGCAAGGATTCTTGTTAACAAGCCACATTTGTCGCCACAAAATCTGCGCTGTTTGCAAGGAGAGGCATGTCACGATAACCTGTTAGCGAAAAAGAATCTATGTCAGGGCCTTGCTCGAGAAATCGAAAGTGGCACTTCGTAAAGAAAAGAATGAGATGCAGTGAGCAGATGAATCCAATCCACACCCCGTTACAGTTCCTCACGATCCACTTTAACATTGAGATCTGACATTCTCACGGAGGTGTTCTGGGTTCCTGCGTTTCAGATGGCGACGAGTTAGCCTCATGGACACACAAAGCACCTCTGAAACGTCGGTAAACGTCAACCAGACTACCTATCTTCATTTTAACATTATTCTCTGATCTAACTAACTAACTAACTAACTAGATGGCTTACCGAACCCGAAGGTTCATCACCGAATTAACCAAAGCCCTCCACCGGACCCTGTCCTGGGCCAACAAAATCCAGTTTCCTTCAACTCCTATCTCCCATAGATCCCGCCTGAGATTATCCTCCCATCTACGTCTAGGTCTCCCCAGAGGTCGCGAACTCCCAAAAGAATCTGACCACACAGAGTACAGCCCGTTCAATGACTACGCACTACAGAAAATGAAATTGGATTTCCTTTCCGCCATCATGTTTACATCTTCTGTGGTGTCCAACCGAAACGGAACAACTATTCAGCGGGTATAATAGCATTCTCATCAGGGTCAAAAGACGGTGGAAAATGAATCTGGTCATTCAGAATCTACCCCTGAATATAGTGTTCCAAACTCATGCGACGTATACGTCCTCATGGTCTCAGTTCACGTTAAGAAAGAATGGTAATAAGCGAACCTCTCAGACAGAGAGACGCACGATGTATCAAACTCATGAGAGTTCTTTAAAAGGAATCGGCTGATTTAGTTGTCCTGGAGACCTAGTAAAAGTGCAAAGGTCTTTCTTGAAAAGTTTATATAATTGCTCACTTTGTCAAGAAATCCCCAAACGTCCATTGATCCATTAAAATATAATCGTCCCTACTACCTCAAGCTGTCTCCTTGAATTACATTTAACGACGAACATCTTAATATTTGGCGAAGATCACAAATTATAAAGCTTATATTATGCAATTTCCTGTTATTTTCTTCGATACAAATAAATGTTCATCACTTTGTCGTCACAATCCCTCTAATATTCACCCTAATAAACACGAAATTTGCTGCGAATACATTTCTTCTACAAACTGACCGTGTCTAATTTGCTCAGTGGACAACAGTTAGAACCAGAGTCGTCGAACCAACCGCGGGCATAACGGAAAACAACAATAATCAGAATGTTGTATTAAACGGCAGATAACTGCCCGAATCAATATTAAGTTAAAATTCATTTACATGTCTTTCAAGGTGACGTATTTTTAAATCAGTTACGTAACATGGCGGTGGTGCGTTCATTCCACGTGAATGCAAGGACTACGCCACGACGTACCGCGCAGAGAACAAAGAACAAATGACCGTCACTGTCGCCATCTTACAATTGCGGGAAAATTCCAGTAGAAAATTCTCATTCCTCGACAATGCCTTCGAAATTCACCTCTTCAATGCTAATAATCACTGAACTGCGTGTCTCATGAGCGATTTTCACAACCAGAAGCCATCGTCTTAGTACGCACAATTCCCTTCACTGTCATCACCCAAATAGGGCATCTCGCATGGGCACTTGTGTTTTAAGAATTATTTCCGAGCTCAACAAAGTACGAAAAAAGAAAAGACCTATTACAACGTTATAGGAATCACTTTAAAAATGTTTAATCACGTAAAAAAGATATTGTTCCACGGAACAAACGTAAAATTTATGCCCACGGCCGATTATTTCGATAGTGACAGAGGAAATCTTCTACAAGTGCACTCGTAAATGCCGATCACCTACTTACTACCTAGTGTTTAATAGGATAAACATGTTGGACAGATTTCACGTAGCTGTGTTTCGGATGTTGAAATCTTACCAGTTAGGAAACAGACTCCACGACAGTGTAGTGTGACGTAACCACAGAAACGAAACAAATGCACGCTGTAATGCGATCAGAAACCTATTTAATTATAGGATAGTGGCTTGTGCACAATATGACGTCAATTGCATATGATACCTCGACGCTCTACAGCAGCGTTGTTAAACAAACAACAAATAAATAAAATAAAATACATCTGACATTTTCAGTCTATTAATCCTAAAATTCATTGCGTGATAATTCAAACTCCAAACTTCAGACATACTGCAAAAGAAACGCGAAACATTTAAACGATAATTAAGACCACCGTTTGTGTTAAACCCAACAAATTTTAAAACCATTTAATTACGAAGTATTAAAATATTAACCTTATTACGATTTCCAAAGGTTACACTTACTGGTGCTTAACACTAATATTTGTCTAAACTGCTACCTTAAATAAATATTTATTTTCATACAAGTTCATACAAGGGGTCTCGGGTTCAATTCCCGGCGGTGCCCGAATTTATAACTTGTATTGGGCAAGGCCGTGGTCTAGGCAACACGGAGTTTTCCTCCGTGGCATCCCAACAATTACTCCATTCACACACAGAAGAAGGCAATGGCAAACCACTTCTGGATCATCTGCCAAGAACGTATATGAACAGGTCCCAGTCCGAGAAAAGGATGAAAGGATCCTGTTCATATGGACCTGTCCTCAGACAGAACACTAAATAAATAATACAAGTTCACTATTACCAGTAACATTTAATTTAAACAAATATCATATTTCATACGAACTACCCTCACAATGGATACGATGTGTTTTTTTTAAAGTACGAACCAAACCTTTAAACACGTTATTATTTTCAAGATTTTCATTCTACAAAATTTAAGGCTAATGAGCTGTTGCAAGAAACTCTACAAAGTTATGAGGGCTTTATGGTAATTCCTGACCTACCACAGGGAGGTTAAGCCAATAATCAATAAAAGGAAACAATTAACAAGAAAATGGAGGTCGAACGCTACACAGAAAAATTATCCTCTCTGAAAACACATAACAGAGCAGAAAGTTTACTAAACATAGTCTACCAAAAACAGTGCTACTTCGACACGCGATTTGTTTTTCAACTGATGGTAAATAATTTAAATAAACTACCACTTCAGATGACAATGAAGAACGGACTACATACTGTGGAAATTCAGTTTTTGTTAACCCTGTGAAGTATGAAATTAATCAAATGAATAAATGAAAGTAAAATGAGATCGTTGTTATTGACCCTAGGACAGCGACCGCCCACATTCAATTGTGTCCAGAGTTCATCTAAATAATATTCAAACACTTATTTCATCGCTCAAATAAAACAACTAATCCGAGAATCATACGAAACCACAGATACATTTTATTACGAAAAAGCAGAATTACTGAATGCTAAATACAAGTTGTCACTGGACTTTGCAGGGCTAACATTCACCATCGAAATACCTCTATTTAATAGTTCATTAGAAACCGCTGCAGAAATGTCTTACAATGACACAGGGAACTGCATTACCGACAACTAGAATTACGTATCGAGAGCCGAGGATTGGGAAAATGAATAAGGGTACCTGGGTTACCATTCGTGCCGCTCGCAAAAACAGGCTGACAAATAGACACTTCTAAGCGAGATTAAAGGTTTTCATGGTGGCGAGTGGGGTCCGCGGTGGCCGCGCCTTCTGAGGCTTGGTCTCTGGGACCGTGGGTTCGAATCCCACTCAAGCCATGGATGTTTTTCTGTGTTGTGCTGTCCTGTGCGACGGGCCGATCCCTCTTCCAAAGGAGTCCTACCAAAATGTCTATAGATCAAAACCAACGAAAAGTTGGGACCCGCAGTGCTCAGGCACTTGAAGAACGGGTCGTTCCCAGTGTCCCAGTATGGTATCGAGTATGTTGTCCCGCCGTGTATTCCTTCTCCATCATTAGAACTATGACAGATGCAGCAAGCAGCTCTGAAACGTCGGATAATCTGACTACACGGCGCAACAACCCAGAAGACAGCCATTTTCATTAATTTATTGTCTTCCCGCATACTGTAGGCCATGGCCGGGGGGGGGGACGGATTTTAATTGGCAGTGACCCCCCCTAACCAACAACCTTTCCCACTTACGTGTTGTTGACCAACGCTGATTTTGTAAACTACCGTAGTTATTTTGAAATCGCTGACTACTGAGTATGGCAGGTGGTGTGCTTCAGGCAATGTAGATTCTAAAGAATCTTCAATAACTCAGTGTCAAAAGCGAATGTCTATCAGGGGCTATACTTCCAAGTTAAAATGATAAAATAGTCTTTAGTAGATAAGTAACAGAGATGAACCTAGTTAGTCTAATTTAACAACACTGAGTAAAGCAGCAAAATCAAGCTTACGAAATTTTCTGACCTCGTATTTAAACTGAAAGTTAATATTTCACTACGTATACGTTACCAGACGTCACTAGCAACAAAATTTTCAATTATAACTGCAATATTTAGATTACATTCATCTCGAATTATCCACAATCATTCGCTATAATAATTAATACCGAATAAAAACGTGGAGGTGAAATCAATTTACTCTCATCACTGAAGTACTGCGATATACTTCCTCCCAGTGAATCCCACGCTGTTTTATTAACCCTCTCGTGGGTAAATACAGCTTCCAAGGTATTTTATAAACACGATTGATGTAAATCAGCAAATGCGAAATACTTAAGTCTCTAATGCGAGGCTTTGCAGGGCTTACGCAAATACGTCACGTCTCAGAGCAGCGGAAAGCTTTGTATGGCAGTCCACTGCACCTTGTACAGTAATCACGTCTAAGAGCGGCGGAAAGCTTAGTATGGCAGTCCACTGCACCTTGTACAGAATGCAAGCAAACAACAGAGTTGGCCTGCATGCACTATTTTCCAAATGCGTCTCGTCGCCGTAACAGAGAGAGATGTTACGAAATGTTACACAGGCTTCGGGCATTGGACAAAATCAGCAGACGGTCCAAGCGATGTCCTGTATGGGTCTTTCACGTTAGCGAAACAACACGGTCTAAGGACGTCTGAAAAGAACACGATGCTGAGGAGAACTGGACCACAGGGTGATGACG